GAGCTCGATGGGCTGAATGGCCTCCTCTCGTTTGTATAGTTCTTATGTTCTTATAGCTGTATTCCTCAAAGATTTCTCAGTACGTGCGAGGCCTAGTTATTTTACAAATTACCGGGGATTAGGTAATTACCATCTAATCGATAATTAAAGGTGCCGGTGAGTGACCCAAACGCTAAAACAGCCCATTTAGCTCTGCAAAATGGACACTGGCTCTGAGGCCCATAACTGGCTTTGAGTTTGATTAAGGCCCTTAATCTCTGTTGCATCAGAGGCCATTACATTTGCTTGGTCACTTGGGTGCTTCTGGCAAATAGGATCACGATTAAACAGTGAAGGTTGGCGTGTGATATCAGCACTGCACGACTTGGACACCTCCAGCTAACAGAACCAAACTGGATTTCCGGATAAAAGTGTCTCTGTATCCCATTCGCTTTGGCTCCAAGGCCGAGACGCCATATGGATGGATTCAAATACAACACACACGTTTGACCTTAAGCTGCATAAAAAATGCCTAAATTCCAAAGAGGCATTAAATTATGACTGTTGCATCACTGTCTGATACTTTAAATAAATTTAAGTACATTTAGGAAAAGCATAAAGCATTAGTCAGACTTAAACCAGAGCAAAACCTCAGTGTGGAATGGGACATAATTAGTGAGAACTAATTACACCGAAATATGTTTATTTTAGCATTTAAACACAAAATGAACCGGGTAAAATAAGAAGAACATATACTGCACTAAACACATCTAAGCACATTTATCAAAACAGTAATTTTTAAAGTAAGAAAATAAATGTATCCAAACTGTATCCTGCCCCGATCATAAGCTCCTTCCGTGTGCCGCGCCCCCTCGTTAACCCTGTGTCGAATCCCCGTGTGATCAGCTGTTTCTGGTTGTTGTCATTAGTCCTCTGTATTTCGTCCGCGTTTCAGTTTGTTTCCCCACTCCGGTCATTGTATTGTCCGTCTGCGTTTTGCCTGCCTTACCTGTAATTAAACCCCATATTCCCTGATACCCTGACGTCTGCGCCTTTGTCTCCGTTCCGTCCCCGCTGAGCACAACAATATTATTATAATTAAATGTATTAATGGATTATTATTAATATTAAAATAATTAATAAGAAATCTTTATTTTTAAACGTATTTTATTATATAATAATTACTGTTACTGTCTATCATTGTCTAAATGTATTTTTACTGTCTAAATATATGTATTCAGCTAGTGTAAACATGCACGATGCTATCACAGCTAATGCTAGGCTGAGACTGAAGCGTTACCCTTTGTTTCTGCTGAGAGACGTGCCGTGTGACTCATTTCCCTGAGCGTACAAGATATCTTAGGTTGGCATTCACAGTTTGACTTCTGAGGTTTAGATCGAATTCTAGGTAAAATCTTTTCGAACTTGTTGGTTAACGAGTTTTAAGAAATTTCAGTTATAATGAGTTCGAGAACTGAGGTACCACTGTATATGGAAATTAACAGTAACAACAAAAAGGGATTTCTTGTGTTCAAGAACTTACTGATATCTAGTTGGATGGCTAGATGAACACCATTTTGGTGTCCAAACCTCTCCTCATGGGCACCTCAGCTATTCTGTCTCTCTCATAAATTTCACCACCAGCTCATTTAATTAGTTAAATTAATGTCAGCCCATGTTAGTCATACAAGATGCTAGTGGTCGATCCAAATAAACATCAGTGTACTGCATTGATATTGCAAATCCTGGGGTGACTTCAGGAGAGGGTTTGAAATGGCTAAGCTAGCACACTTAGGCAGACAAGACACCATGTATTTACACCAACATGAACATTTTTGCATAGTACTGTGTATATAACTACGATGAATAATATCAATGTGCAGAGACCTGGGAAGCGTATTTAAGCTAAGATGGCTGCCCAAATACCTGCCGTGTTGGAGAGGGACGAAGCGGCTACACTTACAGAGGGTGGGGGAGACTCCCTGCCAATCAGCGGCGTGTTCTCACACCGGGGGTTCTGAAAGTTTGCGTTCTGGGTCCTGCGCCACAATACAGAAAGGAGAAGCAGTGTCAAGTTCGACCTGCAGTTCAGTCCGCGATAACAGTCAGAACATGAGAACAGACTAGAGCAGTGTTCACCAACCCGGTCTTCAGGGACCTGCAGACAGTCCACATTTTTGCTCCAAGTAGGGACCTGGGAGGGAGGAGGAAAAATGTGGACCATCTGCAGGTCCCCAAGGACCGGGTTGGGAAAGACTGCACTAGAGGGCTTATTCTGCCAGGTGGGGGCGCTGTGGGAGACTCACATGTACTCTGTGACGGGCGCGTTGCTGACTGTGTGTGCCGCAGCCGGGATGCTGGTTTCGCTGCCGTAGCTGCTCCCGCAGCTGTACAGGCTGGGCATGTGTACGCGGTACAGGTTATCATGCGGAGGCCTGGTGCCACGGCCCATCGATTCCTCCTCTCCTTCCTCGTCGTTCCTTCCGGCCAAAAAAGTGTGAAAAATGAAAGTGACCGGAAGACGTTCTACACTACACACAGACTTAAAATATCTCTTTTAGATTTTTGTATATACTAAATCCTGTTTTAATGGAGTGATTAAAGAAAAAAAATGAACAGGAACATATCACTAATTGCAACTTTCCTTCAAAAATAAACCTTAAATTACAACTCCTGGTCATGCTTTGAGCTAAAAAACAGTACGATAAGAACAATTTCCAAATTATAAAAAAAAACAGTGAACTGGAAATGCATTCAATTTTCTTTGCCAAAAAAAAAAAAGATTAAAAATGAAATAACAGAAATAGCAATCATTCATAGTGAAGTTTGTCTGCACCTAGTGGTCACGACAAGTATTACATCTTCCTTCAGGAGGTCCATCCTCCACCCTTGCCAGACATAAATAGACAAACTGGCTGGGATTATCTACATGTGGTCATACTGGGAAAGCCAAACAATGGGGACGGCTGCCAAGCTCCGCAGTAGCAGCAGTCACACTTCACCACACTATCGTGACTGTCATGACGTGAATACTGGCTTCCTGGATGAGATGTTCCTCCTACAATTTATTCAACCCTGTTCCTCTAATGGCATCAACAGCCTTTCATCTCAATAACCTAAATTAGGGTATCAATAAAACTATACTGCAATACAGCACATCGGAGATTACCATGGCTCTGTAGTACTTTATATTTACATGCTTTAACAGCTAAAAGTGCATATTGACCGCTACTGACTTAGAAACACTGGTGTTCATTAGGATTAGCGAGTTTATCATGGGGCTAAGAATACGCTGCTGTGAGAGGAAAACTGAACAGAGGGTATATTTTTCTTAACTAGCTTTCAGAATGTATTTTTTTAATATTATTGCAAGAACGCCTGGTTGACAGACAGCTGACACTCACAAGACAGGCTAAAAGAAGATTGAGGTTTGAGCTAAGTGTTGCACTCGTGTTTTGGAGCACAGTACAGACTGGGCGACAGAGGCGTGAGCATGAAGCGCACGTAACAGACAGGTCAGGAACACCACGCCCAATGCTGAGGATATGGCTCAGGGACGTCAGATTGATAAGCCATGGGGCTCACAATGTTCACACCATAGTCATCACTCCGAACTCCGAAAAGGGAAATGGTCACGATATCCGATCAGCAGCTGATGATCTAAATCATACCCTTCATAGCAGTGCAATTACAATGGGGTCGATTATTACCAGGTAGCAAACATGCTTCCGTCTTAACTGTAAGAACAATATGTACCTCAACACTAATGAGTGATTCAAGCCTCGGAGCACATTGTGGCAATTAGAGGTAATTTCATTATTTTAAGCAGCTTCATAAACATGTTGTGTCTTCACATTCTGTAACTGACATGCAGTCAGTCACAGAGCCTATCGCTATCCCGCCTTGCGCACCGCAGTGCGGAAATGCAGAATGTTAATAGGACGACCCTATCGTTAAGCTAAGCTAAGCAGAGCCAGGCAGTGTGGCGGTGGTGCTTTGAGCGCAGTGCCCTGGTTCGCCTGCAGAGGGCGGCATCACCTTTTGAGAATTTAAAGAGGATAAAGTCACGTTTTAAGAGCATAATGTAAATCTTCTAGATGGGGATTTGGAGGGAGGAGGGGCAGACCACAGCTCCGTTCACGAACAGCACTCACAGCCTTCAGAAATGCCATACCGCCATTGTGAGTGGCTTTCTCACGATGGTCACACATTTATGCTGAACTCGGGGGTAACAGAGGGCAGGCAGCGAGGCTTACCGCCACCCAGTGGATAAGTAAAAAAAAAAAAAAAAAAACAACAACAAAAAAATGAAGAAACGAACTGCAACTTACAAAAGTGAGTAAAAGACTTTCTGAACAGAAATGATCATCGGTGATACTGATCTGGAGTGTCTTAAGAAGCAGGAAATTCATTCACTGTGCTTCCAGTTGCTTGTAAGTGTCTGGTAATGAGGATAATGAATTAATCAAGCAATCAACCAACAAAACAAAACAAAACAAAACAAAACAAAATAAAACAAAACAAAATAAAACAAAATAAAACAAACACTGAATGATGGCCGATTGGGTAGCACTGTAGTCTTGCACCTTCGAATCCCCCACTATGCGTGCAACTTGCAGCCCCCCATGTCATACAGACTCCCTCCCACATGCCCTTAGGTGAACTGTCATATCAAAATTGTCCGGAGTTTGTCGCGATGCGAGTGTGTGCATGCCTGCGCCCTGCAACGGAGGGGCATATCATTCAGGATGTACCCCTGCCTTGTGCCTTATGCTGCCTGGGATAGGCTCCAGCCCCCACCCACCCGTAACACGCCCCCCGACACACTTTCCTGCAACTCTATTGAGGATGAAAGACTGAAAAGCAAATAGAGGGATTACTGTAGTTGACAGCTGTCTGAGGTAAAAAGGGTATTTTATTAAAGCAATTCAAGCCGTAACCTCATCGCCTGCTACAGCGTGGTACAGGTAAAGAGTAGTGTTACTGTGATTCACTGATCAGGAAGAGCCCATGGCAATCTAATTAACCCTCCAGGAATCTCCTGGATCGTCTGCCATACTCTGTGGCCAAAACCTCGCCGTAAGGGAAAGGTATTTGGGTGGGGGGGTGGGAAATCGACATAAGGCAGCAGGAAGCTGGCGGGGCTGGGGAGGGGGGCCTTACCTCTTGGTCTGCCAGGTGTGCGGCACGCTGCACACGATGGAGCTGAACATGAGAGCCGTGACGAAGGAGAAGAGCACCAGGTAGATGAGGCCCTCCAGACCATCATAGCACAGGCCTGTTACAGCCTGGACGTAATCCTGCAAACAGAAAAGACCTAAACCCTGCATCCAACACATTCCATCAGAGCCATGGGGGCACATGTATTTCACCCCCCTACAGATCTTTAAAGACATTCACATACACTGAAGATCCCCATATCTACTTTTACATCATTCTCCATGTGCTGCTAACAGATGGCTTAAATCTAAAATAACTTACAATTTCTTTCCTGGTCAAGGTAAGTGGATTGATGAAGGAAAAAGCCAGTGCCCTCTGCCAGGGCCTCCTATAATCAGGTAGGCAGACCTGGAGCTTGACGCATTACCAAGGTAGATCGGACAGACTTCCTTAAATCTTCATCAACATGCCACCACGTGAAGAGAGCTGATTCGTTCGCACGTTGCAGGAAATTACAGCTCGTTTTTGCAGAGATAAGAGCTACTGATTATGGCATTTAATGTTGGCCAGAAGCCCCCGGGAGAACAACATCACAACCCGGCCTTCACTCTGAATTTGACAGATCCCCAAGACCTGCCGAATTTGTTTGCACCAAACAAAGTCAGTTTTTATATAAATACAACTGCCTGCTTGGCTTTTCTCACCGTCGAGCTACCAGATGTGATTTATATAACCAAGCACTAATTCATCACTTTTACTTCAATACGGATGCCCAAAATATATAACTGAAATATTCCGCATATCCTTCCCCATAACTGGAATTCTGTCCACTTGCAATATTAAAATGCTAGCCACTTTCCGATCAGCTTGCCTGACAAAAATCAAACAGCATGCCACAAAAGTATGTCCACCGGCTTTTCTGGATGAAAAGCATTTCACGCTAAGCTAGATGGCAAAGGTATAAGCTGGGAATGATGTAATGGATCTTCCAGTGCTCCTCCCTCAATGCTCAAAGGGCACAGCCCTCTGCAACAAAGTGCGATGGATATCTCCTGTTCCCTTAAGGGGGGGGGGGGTGTCTCTTGGATCACAGCTAACGCTAATGTCCTCTGGCACTGCCGGCAGCGCACAGACTTGAGCGACCGAACAGATGCAGGCAGGCGGGTCGAGACGCAGACGAGATCAAACGAATACAGAGCGGATGAGCTGCTGTGACGTGAGGCTCACTCAAACGAACACAGATGCTCCCAGCTGCGCACCAGAAAAACAGATCAAGAAGGAGCTTCAAGAGGACTGGGGTGGGGGGGGGGGGGGGGGGGGGCATGTGTGGTACAGTGTGATAGGAGCTTCTGTCCATCATAGAGTGTAGGTACGCTGACATCACCACCGCCCTCTGAATTCTCAGTTAAATTTGAAAACGATGAGCCAGACCTGCTCACTAAGCACACGCAGAATAGCACAAGCTCACAAAAACACGTATAATCCATCAACACACCACATTAGCGTGATACCCTTCCGACTTCTGAAGGTGATGCCACCAATAAACCTCATACACCACGAAGTGTTCCAATTGAGAAGCTTCCAGGTGATGTAATGATTTTGAAAAGCACAGCAGGCCTTCTTAATGAGAAACAGGAGCCGGATGTCACAGCGTCTTGCAGCACATGAGACAGAACACCTCCGACTGGCAGACGGCGTGAGGCCTGCTCACCATGTGCAGGCTGCGGCAGTCAATCAGGGCGGTGAGCTGGTGAAGGCCGATCTCTGTGGTGTTCAGGACCCCCTGGATCATCTCCAGACTCCCCTGTGGAAGAAAGGCAATGGAGTCTCAGGGAGGGTGGAATTCGTCCCTCAACAGCCAGCCGAAGCCGGTTTTCCATGGGGACACCCACAAAGAAGTAAGCCTGATATCAAATCGGCACATTGACAGGACCAGCCTAGCTAGAGGGTCGCAGAAAAGCAGAGGTACAGTGGCGTGAAAAAGTAACTACACCCCATGAATGATGTGGGCATATTTGGATGTATGGATAATTCATTTCAACAATATTGGCACGGAAAGATGGTCTGATGTTACAATTAATATTATGCTTAGTAATCCTATATTTTGAAATCCTTGGGTAGAAATTCATTTTCGTGACTCATAACTCACGCATCTACTTGGAGAAATTTTGGCCCACTTTTCCTTACAGATCCCCTTCTGCCAGCTTTAAGGGCTTTCTTTAAAGTATAGCCTTTTGCATTATTTCTGGAGGTTTATGATCTGAGGTTTCCCTAAGCATGTTTCTTCTTTACCGAGCCGTTCTCAAGTGGATTTGCGTGAGTGTTTAGTGTCATTGTTCACTTGCAGTTCAGCTGCAGCTTTTTGACAGATGGCCTCACATTCTCTGAGTAATTCATGGATGACGCGCTGATGGCAAATTGGCTGGACCCTGCGGCAGCAGAGCAGCCCCAGGCCATAAAGCCTCAATGATCACGCTTTACAGCTGCCATAAGGGTCTTTTATTCAAAGAGAGTTTTAGTTTTTGGTTAAAGCCAAACACTGCGTCTGGCATCATCACCAAAGAACTCCACTTTTGGTTCACCCTTCCAAATAGCATTGTTCCAGTACTCTTCTTCCTTCCTGACCAGCCATGTAGGACAAATTTGTTTCTTTCTGAAGGTTGACTCATGTATGTTGACATTGATTGAGCTGGCAGAACATCCCCTCGAAGATACTTTGGGGTTCACTGAGACTTCCTGAAACGGCGTTCCTCAGCTCTCCCACTGAACAAGGCCACATCTGGTGGGATGATCTGCTCTTGATAGATTGCCAGTAGTCTGAAATTTGCTCCATTTGTAGAAGATTTATATTGACATATGCTGGCCTTTCCCAGTGACACACACACACACACACACACACACACACACGCTTACCTTAGTCTTCGGAAATTCCCGGACAGCTGAGCGCAGCAGCTCCGAAATGTCATCCTGCATCTCCACCAGAGCTTTGTGGCTTCCTGACAGCTTCTAAAAAGCAGTCATAGCTCAGCCCATCACACATCACAGGAAAAGGCTCATTAAATCCCCATAAAAATGGGGGTATATGGAGCTCAAAGAAGCCCCCCAGATAAGGTTAGAGAAACTTGGGATTGGGCAAGTTTCTTGAAATTGGAAGGGTAACACAGACATGACCCCTCGATCTGGAATTACACCAAATGCCATACTGACTCCCAACATGACTGTCGCTGTTCACAAAATTATGTTCCTTAAAATGAGAGGCAATAAAATCGCCCCAAATATAAGTAGAACCTTCTCATTACCTTTGACCTATTTCTGAAAGTCTCCAAGTCTCAAACCAAGGAACATTTCGCAGAAGGTAAGGATGCTTTTGTCTTGGTGACTGCGAGTTAATCTCAGCACCCTGTGCATGCTGGGAGCACAGCTCAAGCACTGGTTTCCAGTGTGTATTACAAATTTGCCACACTGCATCTGAAAGATCCCATGGAAAGCTGCTCCCCAAGATTGCGAACAAGCAGGTGACACACTGATGGTCCACTTCACAAATGGGCAATCACTGGAAACATGCATGCACCCTACAGGTCAGGCTTTTTCTGTTAGGGGTACGTTAGGGCGAGTACAGCAAAACATAACAGCGAGATAAAAACAATGAACCATGCCGTGATGCCTGCATTACATTACGCCCAGATTGTGGCTCTCGCAAGAGTAACAAACTATCTAATAATTGTAAGAAATTTAAAATAAGAATATATTTATTTTAAATCAAGTTTTTTTTTCTCTCATTATGCATTCATGTGGACTACAAGAGGACATGCAGTCACCAGAAAGTAGGGCGGCACACAGCATATAGAGCAGATAAATAAATGACGGCAAACCTGCTGGAAGGGGTTAGCGTGACCCACACTGCATACCAGGTAGTACTGGAGGATATCTGTGAAGAAAAGGTGATTAAAATGGTTTGAGAAACAGCCAAAAAGCGACTTCCGTAAAGAGAGGCATCCTGTCTGTGGCAGCTCTGCTCTTTCATGCCACTTCCAATCAGACCCGAGGTGCTGAAGCCACACCCTCCCCCATCAAAGCCACACCCTCCCCCATCAAAGCCACACCCTCCCCCATCAAGGCCACAACCTTCCCCTGACTCATTCACCCACCTAGCAGACTCCCCATCTCCTGTCGCAGACGGCTGAACTCCTGGTGCTCCTCCACAGTGTTTTAATCTCATTAATAATGCAATGTGCCATCATTTACGGTTCACCTAGTTGAACTATGTATTATTGGTCATGCAGGAATCCTGCAGCATTTATGCTAATCTGATGTAAAAACACACTGCTCTCTATAAATTAGCCCTCACAGCAGTTAAACTAAAGGAGGCAGATGAAGGGAGGGAGGGGGCAATACAGTTTGGGATCCCTCAAAGGAACTCCAGAAAGGGAAAGATCACATGGGTCAAGGTCACCGGTGAACGGGTTGCCACCCCCAGTCGGGTCAGTGTCCCCATATCATTGGTACTGTAACAAATAATAAGTACCAGCAATGATAAGTACCAGTAATGATCATTAGAACCTGCACTGATCATTAAGGAATCAGATGATGCAATTAGCACGCTAATGAGAAACTATGGAACAGGCTGTTTGGGGCAGAACACCATGAGAGGGCTCACTCCAACACACTCGGCAAGTAAATGATGATAACAAGGAGGATAAACTGTTATTGTTTGCCGTTTGTTAAGTTAGTCTCTGCCCTGCATGTCATACTTTCCCTGTCACATGGGTGTCCTGCAGCAGTCCAAAGACATCGTTAAATTGCCTGTAATGTATAACAGTGTGTGTGTGTGTGTGTGTGTGTGTGTGTGTGTGTGTGTGTATGCATGCGTGCATGTCTTTGTGCCCTGTGATGGATCGACAGCCCATCCAGAACGTACCCCAGCCTTACGGCCTTGGCTGGACAGACCCCAGGCCCCTCCTGTACGTGGTTAGAGGATTTCCAGCTGTTAGTTTAATTGAGACTCTCGAATAAGAATCTGAGATGGACCGAACGATGTGGCCGGTTAGACGACTCCCAGGGGGCCCTTTATCGGTGCCCAGAGATTGGCTGATGCGTCACCCCCAGCACAGCCACATGCTGGCTGCATGCCCGGCGGCTGTGGTGGAGGGGGTGTCACTCACGGGGGCAGCTCGATTGCTTGACACACAGGCTGATTTATTTTTTCCCCTGCGGAGAGTGAAAAGGTAGATCGATTCTGCTCCTGTCTGACCTGATTCTAAGAGAGATCTCATACAGCTGAACCAGGCGTCCTGAGGTCGCATGATAAATGGTACGGGGGGAGGGGGGCAAATAAACACACAAAATTAATTTGACGTGTGTAAGGAGGACGGAACTGACAGCTGTTTACAGGTTGTAGCAGTGCTCAGTTTTTGCAGAGTCAAATTGAGTTTAATTAGCAGTACTTTTTGTGGGAATCCCAGCATCAAATGTGTGCGCGCACACACACACACACACACACACACAATAGGTCAGTCATAAACCACGGGCAAAACAGCGGCCTGCAGACAAAATCCAATACATTAAAACCGTCCCAACAAAATAGCAGCGCTGACTTACGAGGGGTTAGAGACAAATGGAGCAGTTATGGCGAGGGGGGCATCTGAAATGATTAACCTACCGGTGACGGCAGCTTGGACACAGACTCTAAAATGTGACAGAGATGCCGGCCAGGAGATGGGGGGGGGGGGGCACATAAACAACAGACAGCAGTAAAAGATGAAGCCGAAAGGCTGCAGGCCACTCACTTGCTGATTTTGCAAACGCTGTTTCTAAAATTGCCTCAGAGGTGTAACACTGTGGGCCAAACGGACAGACAGTGACTAACAGAAGCAGCGTATCCCACCGTATGCCCTCAGTCCTGGGTCCCGTAATATTCCCACAGCTCAGGGAGAAGAATATCGGAAGGCCTGGGAACCAGTTAGGTGCCTCATCAGTGCCTCTGTGTTTGTGGAATTTGGATTTTCTTCCCCCGTTTCCTCATGCTTCCCTACAGTCCGAAACCATCTAACAATAAGGATAGATAGTCTGTAAACTACCCTGAGTACACGATTATCAGCATTTTTTTTTACTTGGGATAGGCTGCAGGTCCACCTTAGCCCTATGCTGGATAAGTGCTTATGAACAACGGAAGTATGGCAGAAGGATGGATAAACATCTTGCCCGATTTTATTACTGAAGAACATCCTTTTGCTCAATTCTGCAAACTTCATGAAGCTGCAGTCTTCATTCCACACGCCCGATGTCACGTTTGACGTCGTCCTCCTGCTCCATGTGATTCAGCATGCCAAGATTAACGCCGCAAACACATAGGCCGACAGAGAGCGCTCCTCCTGTCATCACTTGATACACTTCTGTTCACTCCTACATCCACTCCCCTACCCCTCCAGGATTATTCATCCTGAATTATTAGCTGAGGCCTCGTTGGAACTGGTTAGGCATCTGCCCAGTGCACATGCGTGACCCTTGACCCTCAGCCATCTATCACGACAAGACAACTGCTGAAGCTTTGTGCCCCAGATAAAACATTATTCATGCAGAATTAAAAATGTGCACGAGGGCACGGGCAAATGACTCACAGAACTGCCACAGTTCTTATCCCTGACTCAACGCTCAAATGAAATGTCAAATTACTCACAGTAACAAAACACAGTAACAAGTTGCTATAAAGTTTTTGCTTTTCTACCCTGCGGAGTTTGCTGACAGCAAATGGTTCCCTCCAAAAAACAAAACAAAAAAAATCCAGGACTACAACTCATAACTCGTGCACGGCAGAAGGAGAAAGTTCAGAGTACCGTAATTTCTGGACTATAAGGCATACCTGAATATAAGCCGCACCAGCTAAATTTGGGGGAAATACAGATTGTTCCATATATAAGCCGCACCCGACAATAAGCCGCAGGTGTTTTAATGTTTAATTACCGTATATAAGGGTTCCTGCTACCACGGAGGAGATTGTCAGGACAGAGATGACTGGGAATGCAAAGCGTCCCATTTATTAACATTTGAGAAACACATTAAATCTTTCAATCAATCAATCAAACTTTCACATCTTTGACATGACGAACAGTATTCGTGCAGTGCACAAATAATACAACGGTGCGCTCCCAGCGCACGTCCTGCAGTCATAGTACCGTAGTAGTGCAGTATAACAAAAAACAAAGCTTACAGCACTTGACGAGGCAATAACGTTAAATGGCTAAATTTAATTCGTTTTTAAAAGTGCTTGCCTGTAACACGGCAGTAAAGGTGCAGTAACACGGCTGCTTAACAAAATAACCAGCATCTTTTCCGAAAAGTGCCAACACAGCAGTAAAGGTGCAGTAACGTGGCCGTTTACTGTATCAAAATAACCAGCCTACGTCTCACCATTGATTCATTGATGCCAAGGGTACGTGCAGCAGCTCGATTTCCTTCTATGACAGCCAGATCGATTACATTTAACTTAAAAGCAGCATCATATGCACCTCTCCGTTTGTTTTCCATAATGAGGGTGTGTGCATGAACACTTCCTTGGTGCGAACTGTCTGTCTCGCTCTTGCGCTTCCTTGATAGTGCGCCCCAGGTGACCGTTAGCTGTAAAAATCCATAGAAAAGCCGCACCGTTGTATAAGCCGCAGGGTCCAAAGCAAGTGAAAATAGTAGCGGCTTATAGTCTGGATATTACGGTAACTGATTCATGATCTCCGCCGACAGGCAGGTAGGAGAGCCTGACTTGTTGCAGGACCTGACATTGTGCTATGACCCAGGGATGACCCTCCATCTGAGTCACCCCAGAATGTTGATTTACCATCCCAGGAGACAGTATACATTACATGATCCTATTCTTACCCAATATTTATTTTAATTGTATATTTGAACGTCGCTAATATTTTTTTGGTCTTTTTCTAGTTTGAGGAACTGCGGAGACAGACAGGGCTCCCTGAACAAGATTAGGTCCAGTACTGCGGTGTAGTTTCCATAAAAGTTCAGGCCCATAAATGCGAGTGGCCCATTCAAATCGGTGAGCCCACTGCCCTTTCACTGACGTCATTGAAAGGGCGGTGCAGAGGAGATCTAGAGTGGCCCTTCATCAGCCCCCCGCCACACTGCTTATATAACGGCAGAGAGCAGCAAGGACCCCCAAGGCAGACATTTAATCGTCAGAGTCTGGCACCCAACTCCCGAAGAAAATCAGTGTTTGTGGTGAATGTCAGACCAGCCGGTGCAGAGAGAGAGAGAAAGAGAGAGTGAATGAGTGCAGTTTTTGGTCTTACCTTGGCTGACCACAGCATTCTCTTCTGTTACTTTGGTGATGAACTTGTCAGGGGCTGCACAAAAGTCACTGGCACTCTGGAGGAGGAAGGGGGGGGGGAGAGAGAGGTTCAGCAGGAGTGTTTTAAACCCCATACACCACATAAAGCACACAAGCAGCCGGAGAGAACAACAGCGTCAACAGAAATGGACAACTGGGTTCTGTTGAATATCAAAAACAATAAAATAAAAAAATTGGCAGCTTCAGAGTGCTGAGGTCACAAGTAAAAGTACGTAGGGGAGACCACGTAGGGGAGTGCTGGTACAAGGGGGGAGGAGGGCATTTGCAATTCAAATGCAGGCAGTGCGAGAGCGAGTTCAAAAGGGAGGGGGGTGAACACAACTTCGAGGGGGAGAGCTGGCAGAGAGGTAAAAACACAAAGGAGAAGGCAACTGCCTTTTTGCAGTCAAATGGAGAACAAATGCTTCATGTTTATGGATGTTAGAGGCGGAAGGAAAACAAAACAGACCGACAAGAGCAGCATGGATGGTGTTTGCAGGGAGATGCTATGCGTGTTATATCAACATCTCAGCTGCTTCAGATTCACACCCAAACAGAAACGACACAGGAGGCTGGGTCTAATTAAAGATCTTGGTCAATCAGCTTCACCGATGACGGCCTAGAAAGCAAGTCAGCAAGATGTGACCCCGCCCCCTTCTATGGATAAAACAGCAGTGATCTAATGGTGCGTTCGTTTTTCTCTCGGAACTCAGAAATTCTGAGTTGAGTGACATCACGTCCGACAATCTCCCGTTCGAGCTACCCACGTCTCGGAACAAACATGAACCTCCATGCCTCCATGAACCTCCATGCCTCCATGAACCTCCATGCCTCCATGAACCTCCATGCCTCCATGAACCTCCATGCCTCCATGAACTGCTATTGCTTAATATTTTACCAGATTTGGAGTGAGATTATTTTTCCAAGAGACAAGCAAACAAGAAACACACAAACAAGAAACACGAACTAGTCAAACCACATTAAAAGCTTTATAAAATATTTTAGTACATTCAAAAGCGATACTTTTTTCAAACGACAAACAATTTACAAACAAACCAAAGACACTAACAAGTCTGGTAAAAATCTGATATTGCATGCTAGGATACTGTTTACGGTCAATACGTATATGGTATTCTCTAAATCGAGCACCTGCAATTAAATATATTAATAGTTATAAATGTAACAAAATAAACATTTTTAAAGATTTATAAAATAGAATTACTGCTGAGTGTGTAAGCCGCCATGTTGAAATTATGTCACAGGGGCAAATCGGACAACAAAATCTTGTCCGACATCAACGTCATAAAAGAGGCGTGTTTCCGACGGGAAGTGACGTTTTTCGTGACGTTTTCATCCGAGTTCCGACTAGCAGAGAAATAATCGAACGCACCATAAACCTCTTACAGCAAACTGTGGTTTGGGGAGGCCTAGAGGTCAGAGGTGTCCCATTTTTTTAAACTATCATTATTTGTTGGTGACTCTCTCATTAGAACTAAAGTCCAGTGATTTTGTGGGCATTCAAGTAGAGAGAACCTTAAAATGAAATATATATTTTATACATCTGTCTCTAAATAATGGAAGCAATCTTTTTGTTTGGGGGGGGGGGGGTCGTTCTGGTTACAGCTTTATCGACTGTGCCTCGGGAGACAGGAGTGAATTGCGCTCACATTTGGCTCACGCTCACATTCGAACAGACGGAGCAGGCGGGCGAACGCGCCCATAAATCACCAGCCAGACCGCACACTCGCTCTGCCGCCAAGCAAGCGGGTGCCAAGATGGCCGACCGAGGGGGCTGTACCCATCGCGTTAGCAATGCTTAGCTATTAAATATCATTCACAAAAGCGATGACGGACATTTCAGGGAAGTGTCAGACGATCTGACTTCCAGTAGGTGGCTGGAAGCCTGGATGAAAACGAATGGCCAGTGAACGATAAGGCAGACTCTTAAAACGGGAATCATGTGACCAGGTTACTTGCCAAACACTCTCTGAATGCCAGGTCCCTCTTTCTGCCGAGTCTGGCCTTTTCCCGGCTCTGTGCTTACAGATGCTGCGCGTCTTTAATAACCCACTGCTGACCCTGTCATTTCAGCCACACGAAGAACAGAGGTGAACGTCGTTCCTGAGAAGTTAACGGACATGGAGCACGAAGAGTCCCGATTGTGATTGTACAGGACTAGCCTAGTCAGTCGAAAGCACAGCCGTCCCGTGTGCCGCTAAATGGGACTCGGGGCATATCTGTGTGTCAGCCTCAATCGGGAACAGAGACAGCCTAGGCCGACACTGCGCACTGGGCCGACACTGCGCACTGGGCCGACACTGCGCACTGGGCCGACACTGTCTAGCTCGGCAAGATAGAGATTCATGCCATGTCCAGAAGGCTGTGGGTTCAAATCCCATGTCTTGCAGAGTAATATCATCACTACTGGGAGCTTGAGGTCTTAACCCTACCCTGTCCAGGGCACTTGACCCTGGCTCACCCTGCTTTCTGACCCCAAGTGTTCCTCACTTGCAGTTTGGACACAAGCATCTAGTGAATAAATAAATTTGAAAGTGGTTTAATCTCCGATGCATTATCCCTGTCGAGTTCTGCCCGCCATTTCAGCTCCACCGAGACCCTTCTCCGTTTTTCTTGCTGTCGTTCCGCCGCAGGACTTTTGCTGCCCCGTCGCCCTCCCAGGCTGCCGCCCGTTTCCACTTCGCGCTCCGTTTCCCAGCAAGCCCAAGTCCATTTCCCATATGCCGCATATGGCACTATATTTAGCGGAGGATGTGATAATTGGGCATTCTGTGAAATTCACAGACTCAACACCAGGGCGGAGTGGAGATCAATGCACTACACGGCACGAGCGTTCACACTGTTTTGTCAACATCCGACCAATAAATGGATTCACAGAGCCGGGAAACGGCATAATTTACATCTTCTGAGTGGTGGATCTGTCATCATGAATGATATGAAAGACTGTTTATGCTCAAGGAGACCCAGATGTACCAATAATTCCAGAACTTTCTCTACTGCCATCAAAATTACAGTAAACACTATTCAAATAACAAGGTAGATCAAATCTGGGTTTATTATGTGAGATCTGAAGGATTTTATTTCATTATTTATGTTTTACAGACAAACCCCTGGAGGGTCTGTGAAAAGGATTCAGAGAAGAACGTCACAGTTGCTCACATCGAGTGACTAACTTTTGAAACCTGGCTACCGCCATCAGTGGCGCAATGGAAGCGAGAAAGTGTGAGGCCTGCTGCACTGTTCCCATGGAAATACTCACCGCGGAGACGGCCAGCTCCAGGCCCAGAGATCCCCAGCTGATGATGAGCGTCAGCACGCCCAGCAAGCAGACGCTGTGAATAGTGGAGGAGGGAGACGAGGCACGGTCAGAAGCCAGCAAGACTCACGCTCACTCCACTGTGTGTGTGTGAGAGAGACTAACGCTATCTAGGACAACACTCACTGCAATGCGTAGTGTATATATAACTGATAGGCCATAAAGGAGGCATCCTTTTATAATCTAAAGGACAAAAACTTACAGAGATGGTAGCATAAGCAACAATGCTGAGGCAGGACTAAACAGAAAGATGACAGCTACTCGAAAATGAAGCCAGATATTCGCTGAAAGGAGTTAAAAATTTAAAAATATCATAAAGGGTGGCTTTATGGGTGGTTTTCTCAATAAAACTAATTTTCACATTTCCTTCAGCTGGGTGTGGCTCGGACTTGATAAAGAAATGCATTATGGGATTTCCCAGCGCTGAAAGTGCCGTCTTCGTCCCGCCAGGCCACCAACATGGTGAGAAACGCAACAACCCCCCCACCACTCTAAATAACCACCAGCAATTTATCAGGGATATTTTTTAAAAAGGGGGGGAGGGGTTAATGTGGTGCATAACCCATTTAACAGGGGGAGCCTGGACAAAGACCAGGGGGTGGGGTAAAACTTTTCTAACAGCAGGGGTATTTCCTGCCAGATTGATCCTGCCTGTGGGAATATAAGGTCGACTATAGCGGCTGGTAGCCATCAAAACAGAGACACATTTCAGAAGTATTTTTACACCCAGATCTGAAATGGGGGGTGGGGGGGTTAAGATACTACGTGTATGTGGCAGATTAGTAAATAACCGTAAATGGCGTAATGACCCAAAAGAAAACCGCCACAATGACTCCACGTCGAAGAGGCGTGTAGCGAAGTCACCACGCCAGTGACCAGGCAAGATGGTCACTTAAAGGTGACGCGGTAGGACTGGCCAGGTTCCTCGAGGGAAGCCGCAGGCTGAGCAGACAGAGCCGGCGGGAGGAGGTATCAATTCGGCCGCTCCGCTTACGGTGTCTGCCCTCTCGGGGAAGCTGCATTTCAGATTCCAGCTTTCCAAACGGCCAGGTTTGACTTTGAAGGCTTTTCCCCGAAGCGGCTCAGCTGACAGCTGGATCAACTGCTTGGCAATCACAGACGTTTCTCACCAGAGCATTAGATGGTCGCATCGACTGAATCCCGTCCTAATCCGAAGTAGGACAGACTGCAAAGGGCTTTAAGGCCTGGTCAGTGAGCAGCAGTGTTGGGTCCGAACTGCTAACACTCTCTTTAGCCCAGTGCGACCTGGCCCTGATCCCAGCAAGTCCCTCCCCACAGGCGTGACTACACATTTCGTATTTGCTCCGGGGCTCCATCATTGACTGCAGTTCTTGTGAACAGCATGGAAATGTGAATCTGGGAGGGAGGGGGACCCGTGACAAAAACAGGCATCCGCCGCCCACGACCGAGCACCCGGCGTGCCGCGGACAAAACAACCGGCAACTCAAGGCGAAGAAAAGAACCGCAGAGCATCCTGTGCCTGCTGTCGGCCCCCGTCATGGCGGTTGGAGGTCGTGGGCCACCCCCACGCTCCGGGGGGAGACACCAGACCGAATGCCAAAAACGGAATACGCGGAAATTCAGAATCTGCTCAGGGCGAAATGGACAAATAAATAAAACAGAATTAATAGCAGCTAATAAGCCGGGGACTTTACGATTCATACTTCAAAGGCAATGACTACACAGATCATTACCCACAAGTAATAATTCACCATATAAAAATCTGTGAGTACAAGGTACTAAACAGATTTAAATTCTGTGTTTTGTGTCTGATACCGATAGCAAACAGTAAATTATCATGCAAGAGGTGCAGACAAAAAGTAATCAAAACCCAGGACTAGCCTTAAAGGGCGAATGATTAGGGCCATATTTCCTATGACAGATGCATAAGCAATCAAGAAACACGGGTGAAAATAAATAAACTCTGAGGCTTTGTGGGTTTAGGCTTTTCTCACTGCCTGCCGGGTTTTGAAAACCCCAAACAAGCAAGGCAAACGTCCTCACCAGCTGTCTATGGATTTAGGGAATCGAGCTGGGCCCACCCCCTCTTTGGTCAGGTGACCCGGCTTACCCAATGAGCGTTCCCTTAGAGTTGCGAATGAGGCCGAACAGCACCAGCAGGCAGATGATGACATCGAACAGCAGCAAGCCCAGATAAGCCAGCCACCTGGAAGAGAAGCAGGCGACAGCGTCATGTCACCCCAAATGGTTCCCTCGCTGCCAACGTTGGGACAAAGCACCACCGGTTATAGGATCAGGCGGCAGCCTCGCCAGAAGCTGACCGCAGACACATTGGGGCCCAATTGGGGACTGGAGATCGATCCGACATTATCGCCTGCATGCTTTCAGTTCCTTGAGATTCTGGAGGAACACGAGCGCTGAGTGCAAGCGATCAGTACGGCGATTTGAGAAGAAAAGAACCTGTAATCATCGGACCCTGGATTATAGGAGCAGGACTGAAGTGCAGTGGCAAGCGGAAGCCGTCTCCACTCAGTGAAAGACGACACTCAGTTCAGAGAAAAACATTATTGCTCGAGTAACATAGATATTAGTACCGCACTCCCAGGGCTCTCGTTTGATGGACTAAGAAACAATAATGTTATGCATTTATTGTTGAAAGTCTGTCAAATTATAAAAGGCTAAGGGGGGGAAATGGCATGTTTTGTAGGACTGTCATGCAGAGATTTCAGAATGACCTAAAAACACTAAACAATCATTTCAAATTATCGTTTACACCTACGCCACTGAGACCCGCTTCTTACACCACCTCATTTTTCCTCATTGACGCCCAAGGTCAACCGCAAACCTTAAATGCTGATTGTAGAGCGTAAAGTGAACCCAGCTTTCATAGGATGGAGCAGAAGGGTGGTCGGGGATATCAATTGACGCGGCTCTCAGACAGGGCCGCGAGCGAGGCGGCTGCCCAGGCCCAAGATGCTATTCTCCATCATAAAGAATGGCCATTAGGACCTCAGCCAGCAGAGCAGTAACCACCTGAAATCGGCCGGGTCTCGAACTCTGTCCGGAGCTGATGGCGGGGACGCGAGCCTCACCGGTACCAGTCGTAGAACTCCGCTCTGCTGGCCAGGTCCTCCAGGGAGACGTCGGCGTTACTCCAGAAGGGAATCTCGGCCTCCTGACGCACCAGCTCGTCCAGCTGGCCTTGCAGCTTCTGCACGATGGACACATAGTCCGCCTGCTTGGCGTACTCTCCGTCCAGCTGCTGAAGGCTCTCGCCCACCGTCTGGTTAAGCAAGGTGGTGCTGTCCGACACCTGCACACATACACATGGATGAGGGGGCGCCAGAGGAACACACGCAGAGGAACACGGGCATGGGCACGCACACACGCAGAGGAACATGGGCATAAGCATGCCAACACCCACACACACAACAGCATGGTGAAGAAACCATTTTTATTTTTATGTATAGATTTCATTTATGTGTTTTATTTTGCTGCAAAGGACCCAGTGGCAGCACAAAGGGGGTGTAAACAGGGGGGCTTTCCTAAGTAAGTGGAGAACACAGTGATGGGCAGCCCGCTCCGCTGCCTCAGGGCCTATGAACAGAGACATCACCGAGGAGTTTATCCGCAGCTCTGCTTTCTATTTGGGTCAGCGTCAGTCAGGAGGAAATCGATACCATCTCCTGCACTAGAAAAGAATAAACACTGTACTACACACACACGCACACTTATATTTTGAAGCTGTTCGAATAATAGAAACTATACTGATCCAGTCAATCACTGCATAGCCCTAACAGTTTGTGGGGTGGGGGGCGCACAGGGGTCATTACCAGTTTCTGCACTCCTGCCACTGTACGGTTGGCGTGTCGCAGGGAGTATGTCAGCCGGTTAACTCCATCGCACGTCTCGCCGTTCCCATAGAAACCAACAGCAATGCCAGCACTGAAGACAGACAAAGGCAGAGAGTGAGATGACGGTGAGCGAGGGGGGGGAGACAAAAAACGAGGTGACCCACAGGCTCCCCCTGGCCAACTCGATGGGACCCAGAGGCCTCTGTGAAAGCGAGGCATGGTTACGGCCTGGGGGGGGTTACTTCGCAGTGAACCACACAGCAGCAGCAACCGTGGGGTGGAGCACTGGGCCTGGAAGATTACAGGAAAGTCATCTACAGAAGCTGGGAACCCTGCACAGAAGGCTGGGAATCACTCGGGGAAAAACCAAAAACCAACAGGTTACCATGTAGGGGGGATTGGAGGTCAGGGGCAAGAGGGAACGGGGTACTTTAAAACAACAATTGTTGGGAAAAGCTTCTCAAAAGATTCCATAGTGAATTATCACATTTTTAACAAAAACATTCAAATACATAGCCACTCCTTAATGCGGAATTAACTGTATTTCTACCCCCACCCCCCCAAAGAAAGCAAATGGTATAGACCACTGCCATTGTTGCCGGTAAACAACTTACTGTAAGCCCAGTGTGATGGATGATTATAAAATTTCTGAGCCAGCAAGGAAAGCAAAATCACATTTTTCAAACAGAAATCTTCTCCAAACCTGCGGCTGCTATTTTCCCCCCTTCTAACTGTGGAGTTCTGTTTCCTCCTCTCCGTATTCCTTCTTTTATTCACCATTTCTTTACAATATTGTGCCACAGTGCCATTCTGCATTAGTGCATTCAATTCCACCTACCGCCAGTAGGTGGTGCATGTGACCTCTGAGCAAGGCCAATCCATTATTAGACGCAAACCCCCGCTCCACACACCCCACTACCCCCTATATCCAAGCCAAATTGAGGCCCGGCTAAACAGCTGAACAATGGCCCATTGAACAGTCACCATGGTCCAGCTAAAAATTCCCAGGGTTGAACTGGCCAGGATTTAAGGGGGGAACTATCACCGTCCTCCTCCTGACATGGGTTCAGGATTCCGTGAGGAAGAGGTGAGCTGCCTTTCTTCATCATCACCATTATCCTTACATCTCCTACAAAATAGGGCACTGCAGCGAGCTCTCTACCATATGCACACTTACACAATCTACTCAAAGTAACACATAACCAACTCCAACATAAACCTACAGAACTTGATACTCTCAATTTCTCATTATACAGGAGAATAAAACTTGTCCCACTAAAAAAAAAAACGATTATGAAAATGCAAAAACAGTTACATTTGCCAAAAACAACCAATACGGTAGATGGAGTGAATGTCTAACTCAGAAGTTTGTAGGCCCCACATTGTGTTTGTTTGCAGGTTTGAATAGTCCTTCGGTTTTCTTTGTTTGAAAGACGACGTGCAGCTCTTGCCTAAAAAATGCTTACCCTTGTAATGGGGCAGTCACTGGAAGCTCAGCCTAGATCCACTTGTACCTGGGCAGTCACTGGAAGCTCAGCCTAGATCCACTTGTACCTGGGCAGTCACTGGAAGCTCAGCCTAGCCGCATTTCTGTTTGCTACATGTTTGCAATGTGCTATTTGTCTCACTTATATACACTGCTTTGCACAAAAGTGTCTGCTAAATTAAGTCAAGCAACGCGTGTTGATATGGTTTGCACCACATTTCTGTGTAAAGACTAGACACGCTTGCCTCCCACCTTAATCCCACATGACCGACGGTCACATGGCTTCCAACGCACGCTCGATCGTTTCACTCGACAGAGCGGTAACATTTAGGAGTCCATTACATTGCAGCGTTTCTTACTTCACAGTCGCCCTCACACAGGTTGTCATGATTACACAATCCTGCACTTCATTCAAAGTGCTAGAGATAAATAATAAGAACATAAGAACTATACAAACGAGAGGAGGCCATTCGGCCATTGAGTTCACTTGTGGAGAACTTAACTAATAGCTCAGAGTTGTTAAAATCTTATCTAGCTCTGATTTAAAGGAACCAGAAGTATTTTTACACCCAGATCTGTGAAGAGGTTGTTTAAAAGTTCTTTTAAAAATTGGTATAGAATGCATATCCACCTTTAAGCAGGAATTACAATATACAGTTGTCAAGATACTTCACTGTGACTGCAACAGAAATCTAGATCAATTTTAATGTAAAAAAATAAGAAAAGAGAGTACTCTTTAGATCTTCATAGCCCCAGGGGCTTATGGGAATCCGGGACAGAAGGCTCTGCCTTTTAAAGGTTGATATCACTGCATGAGGAACATATACCACTAAATTTGCCTGAAGACAAAGAGGAACGCTCGCGGCAAGGCGCTGGTATGGACACAACAGAACCACTGATGGTTTGCAGACTTTTCCCGAGTCTAATCCCGGTACTACACCAGTACACCACATCCTTGTAACAGCAAGGGTAACAATTATTCATCTGTAACAAGCAAAAGTCTGGAGTGAAAAACATTATTTTTTTTCTTTAAAAGCCTGTGTTCAGTTCAGCATTCATCCAGCACAGCACACAATCCAAAGTATGTTTAGGGACACGCGCTGTGGCCCCTGTGGAAACTGGTCACTCCGGGAAGAGCCCGGTATGCTGGCTTTTTAGGAAAATGCAATCGGAATGATCCCTCCTGTTCCACACGTAGTCAAACGTCATCACCATAGCAACCATTCAAAAAAAAAAAAAAAAAAACTGCAAGGGGAGCCTACACAGAAAAGACAAGTGCTTTTGTGTCTGATTACACGCGATAACAATGTATTACGGTATATAGACCGTAAACCACAGGGTATTTTAAGAAAACCACAGTTGATGCAGGAAAACAAAGGAGAGCAAAATGGAGACAAGCTGATCAGGCTGTCAGTCACGTGGATTTCCGGCTGAAGCGGAATTAACTCGGGCTGCTTATCTGACAGATACTGTGCCTCCGTCGCTCCAGCGAGCGGAAGACTGTGGGCCGATATACTCCTCTTAAGAGGCGGTGGCTGGACTGAGCGTGTTGTGACCAGATTTACTGCAACACCACATGCAGTCGCTGGTGCTCCATGTCCTTGAAAAGCAACTGCAAGGTTTCTATAAAAAAAAGCCTCCCTAAATTTACAGGGCACACCAATTCATAATATAATTTGCCTTAAAATCAGCAGTACGTTTTGCTAGATTGCAGTGTGGTATAGAGCTCTGTGTTTATTACTGAAATAATTATTCCAAAGTGATTTCCTTCCTTATTTGTCAATTTCACAGACTATTAAAAGATATTTACATTCATTTAGCATACACTTCCAGCCACAATGGTATACATTTTAGAGAAAGCAGGGGCAACCAGTTCCTGGATCAATACAGGTTTAAGGGTGACATCACTCTGCTGACCCTGGGGTTTGAGCTGGTGACCTTCCGATTGCAGTGCCACACACCAGCAGAAACACCATGTTACTCATCTCAGACTAACATGCTAAAATCGAGCCTCTGTCCTCTTTCTATTCTTGCAGCTCAGAAGCTACAGTCGATTTACGTCAACGGTGAGCTCGACACTCTCATCGGACACGCTGCTGGCAGAGCGGCATCCCGCCCACGCCGTGACCCCCTGCCAGCCACGCTGCTTCGAAATGAAGGCACGTCTGGGACCGGCCGGACCTCTCAATGCATGTCTGCTACAAACACTGAACAAGAGGATAGAGAGACAATGGAGACCATTGAACTTTGGTTCTGCTTGGTTTTCGCCAAGATGAAAAAGCCTGCATGATAAAAAGCCCATTTTTTATCAAAGCATAACTAATGCATAATCCTTATTTTACAAACAATGCCTATTTGTCATTTACATGCTGATCTTGTCACTTTTTTAAACAGCACTGCAATTTTCTCAACTGTGAGAAAAGCTTTGGGAAAACACATTCTCCAGTATCTGGAAGTTAATGGATGAGGATTTCAGAAGGTTGGGGAGGATTTGGGTGCTTCACGGACAGAGTGAGGTCAGGGGTCATTACTCATACATATTGGGTTTTATTATATTGACAGTATATAGTGTGATGGAAAGATGGACTCATGGTTTAACACTATTAAGTTTTAAGTTAAAGAACAAGCTCAAATTTGTGTACCTTCTGTTACAAAACTCGTTATTCCTCACGGATTTGCCAAAAAAATCTCCCCATTGCACCCTCCAATCCCCATGTCCTGAAAATCAGTTTTTTATTTTTTAAAGCATCCCTACATGTATATATCCATTCCCTCCGCAGATCACAGGGCCGATGGGAGCAGCGATGCCCTGGATTCATAGCACTATCGGAAATGGTACTGTACGACAACAGAACAGGGTAAAATCCACACGGCCTGTCCAGGCTGGCATGCAAAATTTGTTTGTAACTTTTTATTTACTGTCAAGGATGCACAGAGGGGAGGAAAGGCAGTCAGTGTCCTCACTGACAGTCAAAGACATCATTTTCTGCTCGGCACTCAATTAGCAATGCCTGAAATTAATTACCCTCACCAGCCGCAGACTGAAGCTCTGGATCCTGGCGGGGCACTGCAGTGTTATCACGTGGATCCAGTGCCGCCGTAAATCCGGTTACCAAATCTGCGCCATTTCACCAGGCAGCTGCAGAGCTGTAGGAACGTCATACAGGGAACATAAATCTTAAAACGGCCGTATGATAATCTAAGCTTAAAAATGTGATGATGGCAGGAGAGTCTGTCACTGTTACTAAAATAAACTAATAATTAACATGTGGACCAAGTGGTTTTAATGAAGGGCCACAGCACAGTGTTTTAGGCGAGAGGCCATCACAGATCAGGATAAATCATTAGAGATCATTAGCATGCTGTGGTTAGATAATAAGGCAGTAATATGAAGGTTTTATTATATGCACCAGGCTAGATTAATGGGCTAATTTGGCTAAGAGAGCTTAATATGCAAAACAGCCATTAAAGGCCAACGCCCTGTGCCCCCCCTCTATTCAGATTTAAATGGTGTATTCCGCCTCCCCCACAGCTCAAGGGGAAGGCTGGGCTCCCCCCTTTTGGCTTTAATATGCAGGGCCCAGGAGGCCTGCAAATCGAGATGG